ACACCCACTTTCTAAGGGAGAGGGGGTACGTTTCTCACTTACTTTCAGGCCTGACTGTCATTGACCCAAATGCTCGTGGGGCAGGTCTATAGTCAACCTTCACTAATAAAGGCAGTTGTAGGAATTCTCAAATAGCCACAGACAACAATCATCAGAAAAGTTATCAATGACAAATTGCACTTTTATATGCTATTCTGTCTGAGAGTTTGTTTTTTTTTTCTTTAGGGGAGCCTGGGTGGATCAGTCAGTTGGGTGTCTGCCTTCCTCTTGGGTCATTATCCTGGGGTCCTGGGATTAAGCCCTGCATTGAGCTCCTTACTTAGTCAGGAGCCTGCTTCTTCCTCTCCCTCTGCCTACTGCTCCCCCTACTTGTGCTCTCTATCTCTCAAATGAATGAATAAAATCTTTTTAAAATTTTTGTTTTAATTAAAAAACGATTTTTCTTTAATGCAACACTCAAACTTGATTGGAAATTCTGACCATGAAATTGTTGAAGTTAACTGGGCTATTGAGTATGGAATCAATATTCAAACTTCTTTGATACAAAATAACATTTGCCTGTGGTTACAGTTGGGTGTTTTTTTTTTTTTTTAAGATTTTATTTAATTATTTGAGAGAGAGAGAGAGCATGAGAGGAGAGAGGTCAGTGGGAGAAGCAGACTCCCTGCTGAGCAGGGAGCCCGATGTGGGACTCGATCCTGGGACTCCAGAATCATGACCTGAGCTGAAGGCAGTTGCCTAACCAACTGAGCCACCCAGGCGCCCCTACAGTTGGGTTTTAAGCTTTGCTTAAGCCACTGATCAGACTAGCCCAGGGTTTGACTGACTACCTTCCACACACCACATTTAGCCCATCACCTATTTCTTTGCATGCACAAAAGCAAAGTCGAATAATTGCCCTAAAAAACCATACAGCCTAAAGCCTAAAATACTTACTCTGGCCATTTGTGGAATGTGAGCTGACCTCTGAAGTGATCAATAGAAAACTGAATTGGGATACAACTGGATAAATGATGTTTCTCTTCTGTTAAGAATGTTCAGTTCATTCATTTACTTGAAAATATTTAGTGAGAATCTGGGCACCTGGGTGGCTCACTCAGTTAGCATCTGTCTTTGGCTCAGGTCATGATCCCAGCACCCTGGGATCCAGCCCTGCATCTGGCTCTTAGCTTAGTGGGGAGTCTGCTTCTCTCTCTTCCTCTGCTACTCCCCCTGCTTGTATGCTCTCTCTGTCTGTCAAATAAGTAAATAAAATCCTTAAAAAAAAATTTTTTTTTTACGGAATGTCTAGGATATGCCTTAACACTTCATAAGTCCTAGGGACAGAGCCATGGGGAGAACTGTCTCCATGAAGCTTATAGTCTAGTGGGAAGAGATAGACCAATATAAACACACAATATGGCACATGGAGACATGCCCTTTAAGGCAACATCAATAAGCATTGAAGGAAAAGGGGAGTAAGATGTGCTTTTGCAGTAGGGTGGTGGGAAAAAGTCTTGGGTAACATGACATTTAAGCAGAGACCACCAACCCCAAAATTAAGAAAGTGAGTCTTGCTTTCAGGTAAGAGAATTCCTAACAGAGGTAACAAAGATGAACAAAGAAATGAAAGAGATGAACAGAAATGAAATACTGTTTGGTGCATTTGAGGAAAAGCAAGAAAAGATCAATAGACTATATTTGGGTGAGCGATGGGAAAGGAAAAGGTGACGAATTTAGAGAGATAGCAGGTGCCAGAGCTAATAAAGAATTTGGATTTCATTCAGCGAAACGGAAGGCCAGTGAAAGGTTGTCTCTAAAGGAGTGAAATCATCTGATTCATGTTTAAGAGCAATCACTCTGGCTGTGGTGTGTAATGTTAGGGGGAAATGCAGAAGCCTCTGCTGGGTTTTGCCACAATAACAGGACCGCCCCCTGCCCCCCCACCCCTGCCCAGAATCTCAGTGGTTTAGAGTCACAAATAATTATTTCTCATTCAGATTAGATGTTAGCTGTTGCTCTGATTGATACTGTCTATATTGCATATGGGAAGAACAGCCCAATCTGGGATGTCACTGGGCTCATGCCAGAGGGGAAAGAGAAATGACAGAATCACATCATGGGGGACGGGGAGCAGGGGTGCCTGGGTGGCTCAGTCAGTTAAGTGGCTGCCTTCAACTCAGGTCATGATCCAAGGGTCCTGGGATCAAGTTGCTGGGTCTCTGTCGAATAAATAAATAAAATCTTCAAAAAAAAAAAAAAAAAAAAAACCAAAACTTAAAAAAAAAAAAAAAGAATCACAGGGAGGTTCTTAAAGACTCTGGGTTCAGTATGTCATTTTCACACATTTCAATGGCCCAAACAAAGGACATGGCCATGTCAGTTGTCAGCAGATTGCACAGGAAGGGGTGGTGAGTATGTGGAAACAATGATGACATCTACAAAAGCAGTTACTGTACAGGTTTTGGGGTCAGGATGTTACAGGTAGACATGCTGAGATGTTATATTCTGGATAAATTTGGGGCTAGATTGCTGACGATCAAAAGATATGAGAGAAGTCAAGAATGGCTTTAATGTGTTTTGCATTTAGCTGATACAATAGGGCCAAATTTATGAAATCAATAAAATCCAGTTCCTTTTTATTCACACCTAACACCACTTTCTGTGTGATATCTATTTGCAGTTATTTTGAGGGCTTTGATCTTTGGTCGTTAAGGTCATTAGCTGCCTGTTACTGCAGAGGTTAAGATCATGAACTCTAGAGTCAGGTAAATTTCCCTGGAGTTTCTTCGATTCTCCTCTTTGTGACCTTGGGCAAATTGGTTGATATCTCTGAGCCTCCATTTTATAATTTGGGCTGGAGGATAATGTTTTCCTTAGAGAATGTTTATAGCATGAGTTAAAATAGGTGTCTGGAATGCTCATTTAATGGTAGCTCTTGTTTATATTATTAAGAGTCTAAGAGGGAAGGTTTCAGGTGAGTGGGGAGGGAGGCACCAGCACGGGAAGAAACCTGAGTTGATTTAAGAATCTATTTCATCATGAGATGGATGGATCCTTTACTTTTTCTCCCTGGGTCCTCACAACAGGCTTGTGGAAGGAGGCTTATCACCCTCACTTTACACATCAGCAAGCCAATGCTCAGAAGCATTGAGTGATTTCTCCCAAGGTCACACAGTTTGTAAAGCTAGGAAGTTAGGATTCAAATGCACGCCTGTTTGAATCTGAAGCTTGTCCTCAAATAAATCAAGAATTTCAAGTCTTAGTGTTGCTTGCTATTAGAGTACATTTATTTTTGATGGCATCAACTATCATAAAAGTTAAACTGATAATGCACGAAAGGCAATCTGTGAATTCACTTCTAAGAAACAGAGTGGATCTTTTGCTCTGTGCAGGCAAATCCTTCTCAGAGGATATATGCAAATGTAGTACAGAATTAGAAAGCCTTATTTATACTCTGGGGCCGGGGGAAATAGCTTTCTCACATAGATAAAAAGAAAGCAATGCATTGTTTAAGGAAGATAGAGAAGATAGTGGAAAAGTCTCAGGCACAAGGAATGAAAGTAGAAATCCCTACCTGAAAAGAATAAATGAAACTAAAAACCAAACATATGTGTATACTAGTTCAATAAGGAAAACATATTGAAAACCTGGTGCCCAAAGATGGTTGGACATATATTACTTTAGGTGGTCAAAGATGAAAAATAATTTAGAGAAATGCAGGAGACTATAAAAGTATTCACTTTCTCTAATTCAATAATTTCCCTTCTGAGAATTCATTCCCGGAAAGTAATTCAAAATACTGGGCAAAAAAAATGGAGATGTTCTTTGTAGAACTGTCTGAATGATAGCTCTTTAAATATGTCTGTCCAACAGTTGGGTTAGGGTTAAATCAATTATAATACAACTGCTCCTTAGAATTTTATACAGCTATTAAAGCCTATGACGTACACATTCTTTAAAGATACAGATTGAGGAATGAAGTACTAATACAGGTTACAACATGGCTGAAACTCAAAGGCATGTTAAATAAAAAAGGTGCTGGAACATAAAAGGCCACCTGTCCTATGATTCCGTTTATAGGAAATGTTTGGGATAGGCAAATCTAGGAAGACAGAAAGTAGATTAGTGGTTGCCTTGGGCAGGGTGCATGGGAGTGGTGTGGGGAAGGGGGAAATGGGAAGTGACTGCTAACGGGTACATGGTTTCTTCTGGGTGTGATGAAAATGTCCTAATTTAGATCGGGATGATGGTTGCACAGCTGTGAATATGCTAAGCACGGTCCAGTGGTGCAATTTAAATGGTCGCATTGTATCTCAGTAAGGTTACATCTCAATTACAATGTTCCAAAAAATATGAGTATTTACTATAATGAAAACCAAGTTGTAAAAATAAAAGAAAAACAAACTAGAAGTAAATATAACCACATCCCAACAGTGGTTTGGTTCAAAGGCTGAATGTATGAGTGAAAATGTATGCCTTCTCTCATCCAAATTTTTTCTAATGTGATTGGATTTCTTCTTTTATATATATGTAGCAAATAGAAGAATGATTGTCTTTCCCTCTCCACCAAACCAGTCTTCTTTCTTTCTACTTTGTTAAGTCAAGAATCAGAAAATTTAGGGGCATCTGGGTGGCTCAGTGACTGACTCTTGATTTCCCCTCAGGTCACGATTTCAGGGTCCTGGGATCAGCCCTTCATCGGGCTCTGCGCTCAGCAGGAGTCTGCTTCTCTTTCTCTCTCCTCCTTTCCCTCCACCCCTCCCCCCCAGCCCATGCTCTCTCTCTCTAAAATAAATAAATCTTTAAAAAAGTAGAAAGAAAAGAGAAGGAAAGAAAAGAAAAGAATCAGAAAATGTACAGACCAGCAGCTTGCACAACCCCTTCAGGTCACTTCAGGTCTTTCCCCACAATTCTATGAATGAAACAAGCAACCACGTTAATGGGTGTAACCCCAAAGGGAAACATATATACACGTTAGAATTCTGGTGTATTGAATATATGCGTGTTCTCGTTTTTAGGAAGTGATAGAAGCAATTGCTGAGTGTGCATTTAAGACGTCACCTTTTCCAATTCTGCTTTCATTTGAGAACCACGTAGATTCGTAAGTATTCCGCATGATCACTGGGGAGTCTTTTTCCCTGAAATGGGTATGTTTAATAATTGTGCACCAATTTAAGATTACTTGACATTATTAATGGTGTTCCTCATTGATGTTAAGTCTTAAGTGTCATGTTTTCATCACCATATGTTGGGATTCACTCCCTTAAACCTCATTAACATTACAATAATCCACTGGACTTGGGGAACCTAGTTTCAGGCCACAGGATTTTAAAATGAAGGACTCCTCTTTTTGCAACGTTGTGGAATAATACCGTATCTCTCTCCCAGTGGGCCACTTTTATAATCCTCCTTCAGTAGCCCCTCTATTGCATGCAAATTTGTAGTCCGTTTTGCCGCACAAAAATGGCCAATTCCGAGCACACTGAAGCTGGTGGAGGGAAAGCTCTAAATTCTGTCCTACTGTCTGGGTTTACACAGAACCCAGACCACCTCCTTTTCCCATTGGTTGCTCTTGTTTGTTAGTCTTTGTAAATATGATCCTATTTCAAAAATAGCCTGCCCTTATCGCTGAGCCACACAAAGAAAAGATACTTTGACTTAACTCTTTTATATTCATTTTATCACAAAATGCCAGAGTAAGACGCATTTACATCTAAAATACGGGCATTAGTTTACCCTATAGTTACTCAGTTTAAAGTGCTTCAAAATGAGAGTCTTCTCTACATGGACTCAAAATTCAAGAAACTAGAATTCTAGTCCATGGAATGAATGGCTGAAGACAGCGTAGTAGTGACCACCGTTACTCAAAAGAATATTTGTGATGCCCCCTCTCTCATTTCAATGATCCAAGCCAGATTTCTCAACTAAAAGCGAACAGCACCTGTGCTAATGTGGCTCAAGGTTCGTTTTTTTGTTTGTTTGTTTGTTTTTTAACCCTTCTTCTTACTGGAAGTCTTTCCCAGACCACTGATTGATTCCCTTTGTCCAACTAATTCGCAATACATGCTTCAATTTACTTATTCCTTAAGATTTCACTAAAATCTTGAAAGAAACACTTTGGTCATGAGCAAATTTCAGCCTGAGGAATTTCCAAGTGTTTAAATGTGATCATCGGTTATTGTGATCATGGAGAAGGGCTTTGTTTGCAAGGAACCAATTTTATAATTATCTGTATTTCCAGTTTGCCCTCAGGAAATCCATATTACATTTACGAGCTCGTGGTTCTGTTGCACTGGGAAACAGTCAGCCAAGGAATGATTTAATCATTTGGCAGATAGTTTTTCTAACACTTCTGAGGGGCAGTTCCAGAGAGAAGAATTGATTCTGTTTCATTGCTATCTCTCTTCAAACTAAAGGGAGTGTCTCTTGAGTTCCTGTATTTAATACCTCGTTTGCTGTGACCACCCTGGCTTGCACATGAGTGTTTTCCCATCTCTGCCTATCCATCTGTGATTGGGCTCTAACAGTCCTTTAACACCTTTCTTTCAGGCATTGTAGTTCCCAGACTTGTTGATGTATTATGTCCTTGTTCGAGAAATATCTCTAAATCTAGCACATTGATGGTCTTCAAGAAATGTCTCTATATAAATTAGACAAAACGGAAAGCTATAGTTCCACTGTTGTTTCCCACCTGCTCGTTGAGCTTTCCTATAAGGGAATCAGAGAGGTATCAACAACCACCACCACAAACATAGTAACAGCTAATATGTATTGAGTTTGTATCATGTGCCAAGCAGCCTTACCAGTGTAAGGCCATGTAACCTTACAGGTGTAAGCAGCCTTACAGGTGTAAGGTCATGTAACCAGAAACCCGGGGGCTCCTAAGAATAAATATTATTATGATAATCCCTGTCTCACAGATGATGAAACCGTGCCCCAAAGAGACTGAGTAATTTACCCAAAGCCAGGCAGCTAAAAGGTGACAGAGCTGGGATTCAAAATCTGGCTGGTCTGGCTTCAGAAATCACAGGTTTCACCAACACTTTCCCCACACCTAAGCAGAGCCTTCAGAATAATCAAATTAAGACAACCAGAGCCTCCGCAAAGCAACTGTAAATGTTCGCTTTTATGTGGCTTGTGATCCTTAACCACAGAACATTTTTTTGTGGTTTTCAACACCAAACACACAGAGGGCCAAAACAGGGCGTGAAAACCAAACCTTGCCTTGTACACAAGAGCAAAAAAGACAGTACCGTGATACTGTCCTTCCTGGTTTAAAAATTTCGCTCTTAAAGGTTTCTTAATAATTCATAAGTCATAAGAGAAAACCGGAAAACAACTTTTCCAGGATGCCCAGATATTTACCCCAAACCATGGAGATTAAGTCGATGGCAGTAAAATTGTAAGATAGTGAGGTCTGTTGTGGAGGAAAGCTGTTTGTTTCATGTTTCCATGATCCTTGAGCCTCGCATGTCAAAATCGCTCAGCTTCAATCCTCTCCTGGGGGGATTATCACACATCCGAAGAAAATTCATAAGCTTTTTGCTTTTGCTGGTAAAACCCTGTGTTTGACTCATGGGCCAGCTCACCTCGTTGCAGAACCCGGTGCAGACATCATTCTTCACTCGCAGCCCTCTTTCCCACTAAACCCAGAAATATACCTCAGAATCCTTCGCAACACAGTGTCCAGGAGAACACCCCCACCCCGAAATAATCCGCCACCTATCTGCCATCTCTAGTGGACCATTTTATCCCCCCGTGTCCTCTGTCTACAAAATGTCAGATTCAGAAGTGTGGCTCAGGCTCCTTTGAGCCGCACCTCCAAAACAAACTCACGTTGGAAGAAAGGAAGAAATCCACTGGATTTTTCTGGTTTTCCCCTCCAAGTACTTGAAATTACCCATCTCTGTACGAACAACAAAGGGAGATCTGCCATTAGCTGCTGGCAGCTCATTTTCTCCCCACCCCCCACCCCCGCCCTGTGATCCGCCAGATTCCCATAAAATGTAGATCCCTGAGCCTCACTCCCATACCCCATTTTGAATGTATAGAAATGAGACTTTGAAATCTTTAAAAAAAAAAAAAAAAAAAGCCCTAGCTAACTCTGATGCTTCACCTAATTTGTGAGCTAGCATTTTCATTAAAAGCATTCTACACAAAGTCAAGAAAGTAACCCCTAGCTCTGGTTCAGCCACAGGTAATGTGAGATTTGGGACAAAGTCCTTAATTTCCAGGGGTTATAGCTCCCTCCGCTATGAAGAAGGAGGTTGGTTTAGTGCAATGGGGAGGATTTACACCATCATGTTTTGTGAGGCACAGTCCTTGGTCGGAAAATTGGTCTCTGGGCCTGGAGCCTCTACTTGAAGGGTATGTGACTATGTCCAGATGTGCCCACTGTGGCCTGAAGCTCAAAACGTATTTGTGAGTATTTCCTGTCATTTCTTCTCTGCTGTAGCTGATGTGGGTGCCCTGAGTGCCTCAGGATGTTTTTGTTTTTTTTTTTCTTGCTAACTGCAGGGTGAATGTCTTTCATTTCTGCAGGTCTGACCTACAGAGTTGCTTTGTTTTCCTCCGACTTTGTTCACTGTGCTCTCTGCTCTGATTCAGTTCCCTGCCTGGTGTGTGTGTGTGTGTGTGTGTGTGTGTGTGTGTGTGTGTGTGTGTGTCCCTGTGTGTGTGTGTAGAACAGCCTGATTACCAAGTAGCCCATTTTACTTTTCTTGAAAACTCCCCTGTGTTCTCTTCGCCGCAGTTGATTTTGAGGCAAATTTGAAAACGTCCGATCAAGTCCCTTTTCTTCAATCGATCCGTGGCCCAGCAGCACCTGCCTCATTGACAAGCTTGGTAGAAACACTTGAGTCGAGTCAGCTGGCTGGCTCGGTTGATAGAGCCTGTGACGCTTGACCCCGGGGTCGTGAGTTCGAGCCCCATATTTTGAGTAGAGTTTACTAAAAAAAAAAAGAGAGAGAGAAAGAGAAAAGAAAGGAAGAAATGCAGAATCTCAGGCCCCAGGCTGATGCTGCCTAAGAATTATCATTTTCTTAAGACCCCAGGTAATTCTGATGAAGTGTCAGAGCTTGCGTTAAACCCTGTGGCCCGCTAGCTATACCGTCATCAGAGCAGCCTGCCAGCTCGGCAGCCTGCCTGCATTGTTCCGAATGCAGGTTCCAGGGTTCCTCTCCCAATTCAGTGAATCAAGACCTCGCCCTCAGCCCTACTGCCTGCAGCCCTAACAGCCCAGGTGATTCTTTAGTAGAATCAGGCAAGATTTTTGCTCCAGCAAAATCTTTCTTTGGCCCTGGTTTGGGGACAACCTGATGAAGGATAGGGGCCTCTACCGGTCACCTGCTTAGGGACACCTGGAGCATCACTTCAGAATCCCTCCACTGGTGTGAACATGGCTCCGCTCAAAATCCTGAAAACAGGGAATTGGGGTGAAACTCTCTACTCCAGGTGTCTGATCAAAGGAACCTGGGGCTCCCAAGTTCCAACACTCAAGGAAAATGTCATCTCCTTCAGCACCTGCTGACTTATTTTAATCTATCACAACGGTTCTCAAACTTGAGCGTGCATCAGAATCATCTAGAGGGTTTGTGAAGACCTCTGCACCCTGCTTCTCTGGAGAGTTTGACTCAGAATCTGCATTGGAAGCCTTGAGTCTGCATTTCTGGCCAGCCCTGGGCGCTATTGATGCTACTGCTCCGTGGACCCCACTTGGAGTAGCAAAGCTCTGTGACACTGAGTGGCATCTTTCTGTGAAAGTAAAATGAAGGGTTTGGACAATTTCTCCAATGCAGCCTGGACCGTGTTGGCCGGACACAGGTGGACTTGTCTCAGCCACAGCTGCAGAGCCGTTCGCCTTATCTGAGCCCCCGAGATGGCTGTTTTTTGAGCAACAGTGTCTGAACAGAGGATGCCCAGGGCAGTTCTGACAGATCAGCTACCTCTCTATTTGCTCTCCAACTTCTACTGCATTGTCCTTAAACAACCACCCCCCCAGGCTTTTCAGGATCAGTTCTCTGGGTGGCAGGTTCTCTCCTCTCCCTGATCCTGGTGAGGAGGAATCTGAGGGCTGCATCAGCCATGCAGTAAAATCTCCTGTGGGTCAAGGAAGGACAACGAGAAAGTGGGAGGTCATTCTGCAGGGTTTCGCAAGTGCTCGAATCTCTTCTTTGCCTCTCCCTGAAGTTCCAACAAAGCAGTGACTTCGGGTTTCCACCTGAACCCCAGAGAAGTCATTGGATCCCCCAAAATATATGCCTTTAAAAAAGGACATAAAAAATGGGTTTCCCTGTGGATCATTGCAATACGATTTGAATCCCCAGAGCACCCCCTTCCCAGGGGCGGCGGCGGGGGGACCAATCCATGATCCAGGCTTAATAGTTACAGAAGAGAGAAAGAAAATAAGAATCACATTTTATAATCAATGTGAATTGTAGTAAAGAAGGCTTTTTTATCACTCACTTATTCTTACTACAATCCCAGTTCTGCTAAAAATGTATTCACATTATAGCAGGCAGAGACAACTATTGGAAATCAAGTTTGACAGCCTGTAGATCACACTCACAGTTCATAAAACCCAATGGAATTGGATACATTTAAAATGATATTTAACATTCCACATGAATAAGAAAAAAAAATGTTATTGCTTTTTAAAAGGTCAAAGGAAGCAGGAATATTGAAAGATGCCAATGTTCCCTCGCATCAACTGGGTTTCTGTGTTAGCAAGTGCACACGTCATCCAGGCAAGCCGGTCCTAACCCTGGATCATCTTACATCTGCCCCACTCTTTGAACGGGTCAAAGGCATTTGCATCCATTATTCCACTTTATCTCGGCACCTTCTGTCCTTTTCCAAGAACAGTTATTATCTTCATTTTATAGATCCAAAGAAGTTGAGAGCCTGGAGCTCATCTCAGAAAAACCGGCAGTTCCAGGCTTTGTCTGTCAGACCAGATTCCTTCTGACCCTAGGCAGGCTGTCACCAGCTCTCCTGCCCTATTGTGCATGTAAAAGGTGCGGACACCTTTCCCCAACGCGCCTGCTGCTTTTATCTTTCCTCCAGGATCCCCTCCCAAGTAGACACACTTCTGCCTGACACCCTTCTGTGTTTTGAGATTCTTTGTCTGTGTGTCTGTGTGTGTGTGTCTCTCTGTCTCTCTCCCTCTCCCTTCCTCCCTCTCCTCTCCTCTCTCACTTCCTTAAAAACACTCCTCCGCAGCCTAGCTCTCTGCAGGTTAGACAAATCTCAACTGATTGTTCACCGTGAGTCCTGGATAAGTTCTGCCCCCAGAGTCTTACAACTGACTTAGAGTCAGGAAATTGAACAACAGGGATTGAGTCCATAATCCTGAGACATTCCAGAACCCAGTGACTGGCAAATGACCTGCTGTGCTCCCCATCTGTGTCTGTGGAGGCCAGCTTTGGGAATAGCCTTAGTGTCTATCTGCTATGTGGTAATCAAATTCGCAGAAGTCAGAATAATAAACCAGTGGTTTAGAATGAGAAATACGAATCCTGAAGGGTAAGATGGGGGAATCACCTCTTTCTATAATTAATAGTATGTAGTAATCCTGACCAAACTCTTGAAATAATCCTCCTCGTTTGCTTTCTTTCTCTGTCATTCCCCTTAGCCCAAAGCAGCAAGCCAAGATGGCGGAGTATTGCCGACTGATCTTTGGAGATGCTCTTCTCATGGAACCACTGGAAAAATACCCAGTAAGCAAGTTTACCCCTGAAGAAATATCCATATTCATGACTGGAGTTTTGGGTGCTGGTGGGGCAGAGGTGGGATGGGGGGGACGACTTCCTTACATCCTTTCCATGTTTCTGTTGCTCAGTGAGATTGATTCAGTTGATAATGAAGTCTGACCAGGAGGAAACTGGCAGTGTGCCTGCGGAGGGTTGGAGACATGGCCGTGTCCTCTTCCTGTACTCCCCATCTTCCCCTTCTCCCTCTGACAGACGTGCCTGGCAGGACCACAGAATTCCAGCAGTCACAATCAGTCGTGGAAATATTCCGGGCACACGGGGCTCTGATCACAAACCAGGAACCTCATCACATCCTTTGAGAGAGATGTTTCAGCAAAGCGGGATGTGGCAGCTGGCACCATGACATCCCCACCTGGCCTTGCGTCCCCTCCTCACATCCTTGCATATGCCTGTTCTGGAACTCAGGCCTCCTCTTGGCCTGACAGCATTCCTGCTTTGGGAAGGAACACAGTAGGAATATCTCACAGTCGTCTCTTCCCTCCTGAACCCTTTTTCCTAGTCTCCACACATTATCACATGGTTTCATACCAATTCTCAGACTCCTTGCAAGCAAAGCATAAAGGACCAGTGTAGGAGAGTTCACTGAACTTTCTAAAAATAACCCATCTGGCGACTTGCACACATGCTCTCTGATACAATATCTAACAACCCTCTCATGGGAAATTGATTTTCTCATTAGCCGTGCAAGCTTGAAACACAAGAAACAAGCCTTGCAAATAAGGGTAGCTTGAATCTCGGGGCTGCAAGGAAATGTGAAGCCACCAGTCCACTTCCGCTGATGACAAGGACATGTGCTGCTTAGCTCCCGAGTTCCATGGCAGGAGTCGGGGGGGGGGGGGGGGGGGGGGGGGGGTTGCTCTTTTTAAATGCATCTGAAGGGTTGATTCTACAAGCTTGCTTGGAAGCTCCTGTCTTTACCAGTCCTTCCTGGCAGACGCCGCACTAACTGGCTTCCCTCCTTTGAGAATCCAAGACAGGGCCTTCCTACCTATCCTAAATCAAAATGACTGGATTTATGGTCCACAGCCAACTCATGAACCTTTGGATTAGCAAATCTCCCAATATGTTTCGATGCTCTTATTCATGGGGATTTCGTTGTGGAAAAAAATAAGAGCTCGGTCATTAAAATACGCCTTTTATGTGAAAAATTAACCACAAAGCAGCTAGACACAACACAGTTTACTGGACTGGACTGAAGGCAGTAATGAATAATCTAGAAGCTCTTATTGTCCAACACCATCCCAGGGCTTTGGGGAAGGAGGCTGCAAGAAAGGGGCAATATTTTTTTTTTTAAGATTTTATTTTTAAGTCCTCTCTACACCCAACACAGCCCTCAGACTCACCACCCTGAGATCAAGAGTTGCACATTCTGCCAACTGAGCCAGCCAGGGTGATCCTAAAAGGGCAATATTTTTACAGAAGGTGCTTTTCTTTTCCATTAGCTGGAATCTGGAGTTCCTCTTCCAAGCCCTATGGATTTAATGTACAAAATTTTGGTGAAAAATAAGAAGAAATCACACAAGTCGTCGGAAGGAAGTGGCAAAAAGAAGCTCTCGGAACAAGCGTCCAACACGTACAGTGACTCCTCCAGCATGTTCGAGCCCTCGTCTCCCGGAGCCGGTGAGGGATTGGCGGGTTCTTGTTCCTTATTATGCATGGGTTTCAGAATGGCTGCCCTAACTTAACTTCGAAGGACTTTGAACATTCCTATTTGGACACTCTTTAAAACTGTTGGATTTCTATTTCTGCTACCAACTGGGTAGCTTCGAGCTATCTGCAAAGTCCCTCTCACCATATAGTCATGGGACACAGGACAGAGTCCCAGGACATGGTCATTTGGGGGAGCCATGATTCCGTCAAGCACACTGGCCAAATAATCTTCCAAGTGACCACATGATTTTAAGCTTCTCAAGGGCCCATGATTCTTTAACATTCACTCGGCTCTGGGCACAAAGATGTTCACCAGATGTATTCTCATTGATGCTATGCTGAAGAGTTCTGGGTAATTCCACTTATCCATATTTTCTAGATCTCTTTTAAAATGTAAAAAGGTAAAGGTACTAGAATTATATGTCAAAGCTCCTAGGCAATGCTTAATATCATTGATTTTCCTTTTAGATTGAAGTTGAAATAGATTTTTTTTTTGTGGCTGATGAAGAAAGAATTCCAAGTGGTCATCCCATTTCCTTTGAATTACTTGTCATTGAGTCTGATTTCTCTTTTAGCTTTAATCAGAATCTCGGCAGTCTGAAAAGGGCATTAGGAAGCTCTCCCAATTAGAGGGTGAGGAAGGGGAGGAAGCTTGAAGCTTGAATCTAGGAAGTTTTTCAATGAAAAGCTTAACTATCATTGGAATGATCACTTTGCTAAACTGGCAGTATTTACACAACCAGAACCTATGCATACCCTCTGCCCCAGGGAGTCCTTTCCTAGGCATATACCGGACAGAAATGTGTATAGACAGTCATCAAGAGAGATGCAAGGAATTGCTTAACATAGCGCTACTCACAACAGCCCCAAACTGGAAACTAACCAAATGTCATCGACAGATAAAGAAGTTGTAGGGTATTCACACTGTGAAATAATGTGCGGCATTAACAATCTACCTTTGCACACAAGAATAGGGCTGCATCTCAGATGCATAATGTGGAGTGAAAGAAATCAGATACAAAAAAGTATCCACCATATTTCCATTCATATAAAGTACAAAAACAGGCAGAAGGATCCTATAGCAGTTAGAAGTCAGGAAATGGTGACCCTTGAAGAAGTGGTAGAGACACTGGTTTTATTTTGTTTCTTGCTCTTGGTAACAGTTACTAAGGTTTGTGTAGTCCTCGCGAATTCACACTCTATGCATGTACAAGTATGTATACTTCTCTGTATAACTATCATACATCAATTTAAAAATTTGGGAATAATTTTTTAAATTAAAATATAAACTCTAGGGGCACCTGGGTGGCTCAGTGGGTTAGGCCTCTGCCTTCGGCTCAGGTCATGATCCCAGGGTCCTGGGATCGAGTTCCACATCAGGTTCTCTGCTCGGCGGGGAGCCTGCTTCCTCCTCTCTCTCTGCCTGCCTCTCAGCCTACCTGTGATCTCTGTCAAATAAATAGATAAAATCTTTAAAAAATAAAAAAAATAAAAAATAAATAAACTCTAGGGCAATGGCGGCAGGGGGGGGTAGGTTGACCAAGACACTGATTTATCTTTTTTTTTTTTTTTTAATTTTTCCATCTCAATGGCCAATATCTTTTACAGGTTAGATAAAAATCTGTATCAACAGATATTATACAATTCTTTGAAAGGTTTTATGGGAGGATAGTTTTTGAATGTATATTTCTTTTTTTTTTCTTAAAGATTTTTATTTATTTATTTGATAGAGAGATCACAAGTAGGCAGAGAGGCAGGTAGAGAGAGGGGGAAGCAGGCTCCCTGCTGAGCAGAGAGCCGGATGCGGGGCTCGATCCCAGGACCCCAAGATCATGCCCAAGCTGAAGGCAGAAGCTTAACCCACTGAGCCACCCAGGTGCCCCTTGAATGTGTATATCAAACATTATTACCCATTTCTGATTCTCTTCTCAAAAACAATTTTGTTCCCAATATGAATGTTCTTTTTGAAGATTTGGGGCCATTGTTGTTAAGAGGCTACATATTTCCTAGCACAGTTCTTGAACCTCTTGAATCTAGGGAAGAAAGCAGATCTTCCTTTGCATGGAGAAACTTGTTTTTCTGTGTGTGTTCCCACTGCCAGTTCCGTCTCTCTTATTAACTGGATGTAAAACACAAATAAGATTTTTACAGGCAGTGGGGATTATTGCTTAATACAGAGAAAGATCGGCAATCTGTTTGTGGTTCAGTAGATTTCCTAAGCTAGCCCCATGGTCTGTTGTGCAATCTTTCTTTCAACGGAAAATTTTGGACATTGGAATATGTAGGTAGGCTCTTGAATAATGAGTGCTGTTAATTTACCATTTGGTTTGTAGATAGTAATGGGAACTCAAGTAACTTGAAAAACATGCAATGGTTCTTATTTCAGAACTAGTTTGTTTATCATGGCCCGTCAGTCAGGTGCCTCTCCCAAGATCAGCCCTTTGCCAGTATAGTTGTCTTAAAGAACTAGGATAGAGTAGATTTTTTTATGGTGCAAGGTTTTAGGGTCTTAAGGTGGCTCCAGGGTCCCTCCAAAGACCAGGGCTCTCCTCATATTGTAAGGGAAGACAACTTTCCTTCTTTCCCCCATAACCAAAGAATGACTGGATAGAATATTTGAAATGCCCAGTGTGTTGTTAGTCCCGTGAAGCATTGTGTAAATGGTTTTGCCAAACAGTTTTAAATTACTCTATAGAAAGAATACCCTCTCTAACTAAAAAGTAAAAACTGGTTAAAAGATCTTGCAGCAACACATTTGATTATTAAAAAAAACTTGAGGGGGGTGCCTGGGTGGCTCAGTGGGTTAAGCCTCTGCCTTGGGCTCAGGTCATGATCCCAAGGTGCTGGGATCGAGTCCCGCATCGGGCTCTCTGCTCAGCAGGGAACCTGCTTCCTCCTCTGCCTGCTTCTCTGCCTACTTGTGATCTCTGTCTGTCAAATAAATAAATAAAATCTTTAAAAAAAAAAAAATTGAGGGCCAACTTCCTAAAAGAACATGTCTCTATATACATGTGTTTTCTATCCAAAATATAATGGATTCATCTTATTAACTTAACACAATATCGGCATCATAAAGTGGCTGCAAGTGCTTTCTTTTAATAAACAAGCCATAAATAATGATTGGTTGGTCCCAGAAATCTTTTCCTTCTGAAGCTAGTTCATGAATACTTTGCTCACTGCTGTCATTCAGTAATTGATTGAACTTTGTCAGCCAAATGAAAACATTTATAAGCGTCTTTGAAGACATGTTGTGGACCCTGTGTCATTTATATAGATTAAACCAGGCGGTGAACTTCTGGAAGGTTTGATGGGGAGGTCCTTTCAAGTGCAAGTTGCCTCATTGTTGAGCCAATATTGCCACCTACTGGAATCCTTCTGTTACTGCCCCGTGTGAATGCCAGAAGGTAGTAATCAAATCAAATAATGCCTTCTGTAATATTTTACTTGAAACTCTTTTTACATAACTGATATTATTGGGTCTTACTGAGTCCCAGAGCATGGAAGAATTTAATACCTCATGCTAGTATGAATATTCAAAAGCAGAATCATCCACCAAATCTTCGGAGAGGAAAAAGAATCCATGGAAATGACTGTGTATCGGCTAAAGACGAGCTGAAGTATGTTGTGATTGAAGTAGATTTCCATGCATCATTATGTTAAGGGTTCGTGCATTTTATCCTGCTTTTTAAAACAGATATCGCCATTTTCTATGATAGGTGCATTGCCTACAGGATACTCGAATAAGCCTGTGGGCAAATCATAGATCGAGACAATACAGGGTTTGTGTAGTTAGGCATGCTGCCACAGCCCCCTCTTTTTGTCCTAGCTCATGTCCTTGACCCTCGCTGTGAGGTCCCATATGGCCTCAGAAAAGTGGCCACAAAGTCACTGAGCACTGGCTACGTATCACAAGGAAGAGTCAGTGTCCAGAAAAAGAGGGAAAAGTGGGAACAGGATGGATTATCCCTTTACAGATTATTAAGACCCTGAAAGACAATGTCATCTATCTAGGATGTGTGTACCATAGAAAGCTAACTGTAGGTGATGCCATATATTTTTTTAACTGATAAAAATGTCAAGCATTTTCAACAGAATGCTGGCATTTCAAATGGCATTCACAAATGAAACTTGGGGAAAAAAATCCATATTCAAAATCTCAGTCTAATTCTCTATATAACTAATAAAATTTAACTATCTGAAGGAATAACTTTAAAACCATAAGAGGTCAATATCCAAGGACATTTTTGGCAATGTAACTGTTAGTATATGCTTCAAATCTTCAAAACTGTTACCTCATGATCTGTTATTAAAATTTGACAGGGGAAGCTGACACTGAGAGTGACGACGACGACGATGATGATGACTGTAAAAAATCTTCAATGGATGAGGTAGGTATCCAGGGACTGACTGGTCACAGAGGCTCTTCTAACGCGCATCCAGGTGGCTCCATCTAGATACAGTTCCTGGTCACCTTCTGCCATCTAGTGGTCAAAGGAGTCATAGTTCGCTGTAAAACTTTTTTTGGCTACCCAGTTGGAAAATGAAAATGCATCCCGGGGTCACTAAAGGAGTAAGCATGGCATTGAGCAAAACTCTTTGTAATGAACAATGCTACTGAGACTGTCTTCCATCGAATGGGGCATCTAGAGGGTGAATTCAAAACTCATGACATCCAACCACCCGCTTCGATTAAATGGATTGTCAAATGACCCCAAATCCCGAGAAGACACGGGATTTGGGAGAAATGTCCAGAAACGTGACATGCATTCCATTATTGTAATTTTGGAACCGCTAGAGATCCTTATTGATGTAAGCTTGAACATTCCAAAGAACCTCGTCAGATCAGAGATAGTCATTACCCAGAATCTAGAAGTGAATCTGGGATTGGCCAATCGGAATTTTAAAATTTGTTATAGCAAGAGTCTTGGTCAAAAAGTTTACCCTGAATCTGCTTTCAGATATATTGGAAAGTATCTGTCTCAAGAATAAATAATGAATAATAAACTATTCTTACAGGATGTTCTTCCTCTGGTACTTATTCCTTTTCATGTAGTCTAAAGTTTTGATTAAATATGTTCCTCTGCTAAATTTCAAGATAATGTCAAGGAGGAAAACTATTAATATGCCTGGTAGAGTAGGTCTGCCCGATAATTATTTTAGTCACACATAAGTTTTATCACTGATTCTTGATCATTTAAAATTGTTTTACTAATTGGATGGTTCATTTGCAAATGAATATTTCCCAATTAACATTTAACCTAAATATTGCTACAGGAGTTTTAAAAAGAAATTGTGTCTGCATGCATGCTGTCTTCTGAAGATGGGAGAAAATATTAGCTCTGTCTACAGAGGTCTGTCCATGCCAATACTGCAATATGGCTTTTCTCTTTCATTTAAAACTTTATCAGAGTGATCCATAATAGCTAATAAGAGCTAAAATAACGTGAGGTTTTACTATGGGCCAGGTTCTGTTCTGAGCTCTTTCACATCAACTAACTCATTTAATAATCCCCACAACTCTGGAAGCTATTGGAACTGGTTTTATTCTAATTTAACGGGTGAGAAAACTGAGGCACAGAGCAATTAAGTAATTTGCCCAAGATTGCACAGCTTCTAAGTGGTGGGCTTAGGGTTTGAAATTAGGCAATCTGGTTCCAGAATATGAGCTACTAACCTGAACGAACATTTGTAAAGAAAAGCAATAGCTGTTCACCCACCCCAACCTATTTCCACAGGGCAATTTTTTAAAAAAATCCTTTTTGGGGGGGGGGGTGGGAGGAGTTCACTGGCAGTCACTTCGTACTAATTTTCAACTCATACAGTGACTTCCTGATTTCTTGATGTATTAACCTTAGACATCAGCTAAGGAATTTATGCTGTGACAGGTGAAATAGGGCTCAGTGCTTCTCAGATTGTAATTTGTGTCTGAATCACCTTAGTAAATTGCAGATTCTGTTTCCAGAGGCCAGTGGCCACAGGGGGCTGAGAAGTTCCATCTCTAACAAATTCTCAGGAATGCTGATGCTGCAGGTCCCAGAGCACACTGGGACCTGCCCCTATGAGCAAATTTTCTCCTGTGATGAACTTTCTATTGGCAATAACCATTTTCAGAAGAAGCGGAGTGATGTTCTGTCTTGTGGGTCCCTTCACCACTGCCCTGGGAAACATAACCCTTGGTAATGTAATGCTGACTCTGGGAATGTTATTTTTAATTCTGCTTCCAGGGGACTGCCGGGAGTGAGGCCATGGCCACCGAAGAGATGTCTAACCTGGTGAACTACATTCAGCCAGTCAAGTTTGAGTCATTTGAAATTTCAAAAAGTAAGTTTTCCCTGGAGAAGAACCCCTAATGGAGTATAGAGTGAGTATCTTCTCAATACAAGGTAGTTAGAACAAAGAATGTTACCCTTTATAGAACTCTTCTAGAAAGTCTTGAATACCTGCCTGGGCTGACCATCAAAACCACGTGGGAAGATATTCCATGATGTTTCTTAGTAGGGCTGTAGACCATCATGGTTATCTGGAAGATACTAGAGTACAGCTAATTGAGAGTCTCAACAACATAATGGGCTCCTTCCATTAAATAAGGGGCAGGATTGGAATAAACTATTTACCCATTCCCCAGCAGGGGAGCAGCCAGAGAGGTGGTGAGCCCTAAGGACTAGAATGGAACACAGTCCCTCAGTTCACGCACATTCCGTTTGTCCGGCCTGTTTGAGAACATTAACGTCACATCATTTTGTGTTCTTCTTTCATCCAATACACATTCATACTGGATACAAAGAAAGAAATAGCATCTTTCCTCTACCTAAAGAAAAGAGCCCTTTTATGAAATTGTTCTTTTTTTGATGAAATGTAAGATGCTATCAGGTGAAGAGAATCCTTGGGACATTTTAGCTGCTTTTATGAGTGTGCTCGTAAAGGCTGAATTTTTGCTTAAATATAGCAGCCTCTGATAAAGCATAGTTTTATATTTACATTAAAATCTAAGCTTCTACCTAACATACCTATGTGTAAGTGTATAATTTCTCCCGAAGAGCCTTAACTTAGTGGTATTTAGTATCTAGATCTCTACAATGAGGAATTAACTTCCAGTACAGTTTATATATAAATATTTCAAATTTTTCTTTGGTTTTTTAAAATTTTTTATTTTTTTTAATTAGCATATAATGTATTATTAGCCCCAGTGGTACATGTCTGTGAATCGCCAGGTGATTTTTTTTTTTTTTTTTAAGTACTGATGCATCTTACGACAAGTTGTTTGGTTTGAAACATCCTAAAAAAGTAGTTATTTTTATATTTCTCTAACATCCATTGGCTGTTACGAGTTTTCCTGATTCATGAGTCGAAAGCTCCTAGTCAAGTAGCCAAGTTGAAAAGGGACTGATGCATTGACATCCTTTAGAAATCTGGTAACAGCAGCACAAGCCGAAGGTTGACCAACAAGCACTTTTCTCCTTGAGTTTTCTGTCATTTTATCACTTTTGTAAAAAGAACACCGCACATACGTTACAAAAACACCTACTAAATGGACAGAATCTTAATTAGCAGTCTTGCTTAAATAACTAGTCATATGAAAATAGGTTTCTGATGGCCCCAAATAAGAGAAGTAAGGGTTTCCCCGAGAGCTGATTAAACTGGGGGAAGATAAGACGATGGATAAAAGCATCTAGGAATGACTTAGGAAGAAAAATGAGGCTTTAAATTGGGCATCAAAGAGGGAAAAATACCTCAAAGGTAATCTTTAAAAAAAAAAAAAAAACAAAAAACTGAGAGCTAGGGGCACCTGGATGGCTCAGTAGTTTAAGGGCCTAAGCATCTGCCTTTGGCTGAGGTCATGATCTGGGAGTCCCAGGATGGAGCCCTGTGTCAGGGTCCCTGCCCAGCAGGGTGTCTGCTTCTCCCTTTCCCTCTGTTCCTCCCCTTCTTATGCTCTCTCTCTCCTGCTCACTCTCTCTCAGAAAGAAAGAAAGAAATCTTTAAAAAAAAATTTCTTTTTAAATAAATAAAGCTGGGAGCTGTCAGGGTGCCTGGCTGGCTCAGTCAGTTGAACGGTCAGACTTGGTTTCAGCTCAGGTCATGATCTCAGGGTCCTGGGATCCAGCCCCGCATCGGGCTCCATGCTCAGGAGAGTCTGCTTGAGATTCTCTCCTTCTACCCCTCCCCGCACTTGCCCACATGCTTTCTACCTCAAATAAATAAAATCTTTAAAAAATAATAATAATAATAATAAATTTTAAAAAGACCCTCAGAGTTTTCTAAGCTCCCTGAATGACACTTGCCACAGTACTATGTGGGACACTTTGGTTTTTGGCTGGGAAAAGAACAGAGAAGCTGTTGGACTCTTCTTAGTTTTACAGGCTAAGATGACTTTGTCTTGTTTCTTCCATTCTAACAGAAAGTTTGGATTCCACTTTCAAAACGTTGCTTCTGTATTCTACTGAGACCTCTAACACATTCATCTCTCCAGCCTCTCTTATCTAATCTGAAAACAAGGCCATCAGACTGGAAAATTTCCAAGGATCCTCTGCTTTGAAATACCCTGATCTTACTGTCACATTAGTTATGTGAACGGAAGGGGCACATACAAACTGAGCCAATGACAATGTGAGCATCAAAGAGAGTCAGAGATGCTAATCTGAATGGATTTAGAACAAAAGATTCCCCCAGGGCTCCTTTTCTTTTGACAAAACAGCTTTCATTTACCACATCTAAAATTCATTTCCCCACCCTAATGCAAGGCCAGAGGCATAGCTGACTCAGGTAGTAAGTATTAGAAGAGACAGCATCTTAAAAGACTCACCTTTGGGTGCAGGTAAATGGTTCACAGAAAGAAATACATTTACAAAGTAACGATGAGGATTCATTGCCCTGAACACGCGCCTACTTCTTACGTGTTATCATTATACCATTGTATTTTACTTCATCCTGTTTTTCTTGTCATTAACTCAGAAAGAAATAGAAGTTTCGAAATGTCTTCCTTCGTGGAAACCAAAGGCCTTGAGCAACTGACGAAGTCTCCCGTGGAATTTGTAGAGTATCCTTGATTTGACGAGTGACCGCTGCAAGGACCCAACTGAAGCCACGTGCCATTTGTTTGATTTTTGTTTCGAATAAGGTGAAAGATGCATGAAGTGGCTTCCTTCTGTCACGTGGGTGTGAGAAATGTTTCAGGTTTCCTGTGTGAGGCTGAGGGGGGTGTCCTCCCACTGGTCTGAGGTAAAGGAAGCTCAGGTTTCCAGGTGATTTTCACAGCATCAAGCCTTTTGTCATGTGACAACTTGCTTAATCCTTCTGAATTTCCTAATCTGTAAAACAGAACCCATGATACCAGCTTTATGGCTTGCCTTTTGGGTGAGGGACAACATGAGTAAAGCATGTGTATATACTTCATACATATGTAAGATAGAATATATGTAAAATGTTTACATATATATGTAAACTTGCTTCACACATCACATCCTTACATGTAATAAGTGTCTAATCAGAAAATAGTTGGGAGGATGTGATAAGACTATAAATATTGGGACGCCTAGCTAGCTCAGTCAAAGAAGCATGTGACCCTTGATCTTGGGCTCATGTGTTCGAGCCCCATGTTGGGTGTAGAGATTATTAAAAAAAAAACAACTTAAAAATAGAATATAAATATATATTACTAATAATGGCTTTGTCGATAGTCCTGACAACAAAAACTTTCCGTTTTTATCCATAAATCAAAAATTAAACAAGTCTGTACATTTTTTTCATGAAAGTAATTAGTAACTGCCTCAAACAGCCCAATTTCATGAAGCACATCCCAGAATAAATATAAGTCACCCTTCGAAGTCATCAACAACAGGAGAGGTAACATGTAAATTCCATAAACAGTCAGACTCTTAAGTATTGACGCTTAGATACAACCTCTAATAGCTGTGTTAACTCATTGAATCCTCACAACAGGCCTAGAATGTAGGGATTGTTCAATCTACTAAGTAAAGGAGGGAAACGGACACATAGATCAAGATAACTTGCTCTAGGTTCTACAGCCAGCAACTTCCGGAAATAAGGTTCAGACCCTTTTAGGCCTTATTCGCCTGCCCAGGCTCAACACCTTAGCTAACCTCCACCAAATTTGATAATAGGAAGAATCAGTCGTGTTTTAAAGACATAGCATTGTTTAACAGCTACGCGGTAGTCGAGAACAGAAGGCTCTCAGGATCAAAAACTGATGGTGGGAGGAACTCAAATACAAAACAAGGTGAAGGTCAAGCCTGGGTGGCTCAGTGGGTTAAGCCTCTGCCTTTGGCTGAGGTCACGATCCCAGCATCCTGGGGTGGAGTCCCGCCTCGGGCTCTCTGCTCAGCAGGGAGCCTGCTTCCCCACCAACCCCTGCCTGCTGCTCTGCCTACTTGTGATCTCTCTGTCAAATAAATAAATAATAAAATCTTAAAAAAAAAAAAAAAAAACAAGGTCAAAACCTTCTGTGTTATATTTACCTTGTTATCCATCATAGAGTACCACAATCTTGGCAAACGGCATGCTCAGAGAAGGCTAAAAAACGAGCAGAGAGCATTTCATAAATAGCCATGCAGTTCACGTGAGCCCATTCTGCCAAAGACAGTATCACGCTCTCACATGCTTAGACACGCTTGAGCTTCTTCGTGTGTCCTTTATCGTGAAGCCTGTCCTTAAAAATCTCCACAGAATCACACTGACGTGGACTCGGCCATTTTTGCTCCCCCATTAGTTTTTACCCACAAAGCTCTGCTAAGGTGATACAGTACATCTTTATTACAAAAGCACATTGATTCTGTGTGTTCAGGAAGTTTTTGACATTATTCACTGACTTGCCCAATGAGATCCTCACCAGTACTTCATTTTCCAATGGAGAAGGAAGGAAAGTGGCCTCTCAGTTAATAGTATTGCTGATCATCTTTATAACTGTATTCACTACTTAACATGATGGTCCAGATATAACAAAATGCAGCTTAGCAGGATATATCCAAAAGGAACCCGTGTGGATTCATCGAACTACATGCCTCAGCTCTTCTGGAATGCAGGTTGCCAAATGGTTGCCCTTAATTTTCAAACTGTGGGTAAGTCGTGCAGTAAAAGCCCATTTCCGTTCTGTTATAAAGCCACATTTCCAGGCGTGCGAAGAGAAGCAAGTTTCAGTGAAGGAAATATCACTACAAAAAAAAAGGTAACCTTTGAAAACGGAGAAACTGTCTTTAATTATTTCTAGTGGTTTTGCATTATTTTCAAAGAAAAATGTTTATGCTTTTTAAAGTAATATGTAGAGGGGCGCCTGGGTGGCTCAGTTGGTTAAATGTCTGCCTTCAGCTCAGGTCATGATCCTAGAGTCCCTGCATCAGTCTCCCTGCTCAACAGGGAGTCTGCTTCTCCTTCCCCCTACTCTTGCACTCTCACTCGCTCTCTCTTTCCCTCTCAAATGAATAAATACAATCTTTAAAATTTTAAAAAGTAATATGTATATATTGTAGAAAATTTGGAAAATTTAGGAAAGTATGAAGAAAAAAATAAAACTGCCAGGAACACTACCAATCAGAAAGACAACACGGTTAACTTGTTGGCTTTGTAATCTATAAGGTTTTTTGATTACATATATAGTCTTTTTTATTTAATTCCTTGTTTAAAAATGTGTGTGTGTGTGTATATATATGTATGTATTTATATATGTTTAAGTGCTATATAGAAACATGAATTTTAATAGCTATATATGAAGGAAATTCACTATCACTGGACATTAGGAATTCTTTTTCTACTGTAATGTTCAGGGAACATCTTGACTATAAATCATCAAATCTATGTCCTAATGTTCTTTTGGAAGAGTTCCTAAAATAGAATTACTCTGTTAAAAGATGTGAACATTTTAAAAACCTTCATGCAATATGCCAAATTGTCCAACAAAAATCTTGGTTATTTACCTGAAAAATACAAAAAACACTAACTCAGAGGGATACATGCAGCCTTATGTTTATAGCAGCATTATTTACAGTAGCCGAATTACGGACATAGTATCCATCAATAGATGAATGAATAAAGTATCCATCAATAGATGAATGGATAAAGAAGATGTGGTATATAGAGAGTATATAGATACAATGGAATATTATTCAACCCTAAAAAGAATGAAGTCTTGTCATTTGCAGCAAGATGGATGGAGGTGGAGAGTACAATGTTAAGTGAAATAAACCAGTCAGAGAGGGGTGCCTGGGTGGCTCAGTGGGTTAAGCCTCTGCCTTCGGCTCGGGTCATGATCTCAGGGTCCTGGGATTGAGCCCCTGCATTGGGCTCTCTGCTCAGCAGGGAGCCTGCTTCCTCCTCTTTCTCTCTGCCTGTCTCTCTGCCTACTTGTGATCTCTGTCAAATAAATAAATAAAATCTTAAAAAAGAAAGAAAGAAAGAAAGAAAGAAACCAGTCAGAGAAAGATGCCATATGATTTCACTCGTATGTGGAATTTAAGAAACAAAACCAATGAGCAACTAAAAGAGAGACAGAGAGAGACAAACCAAGAAACAGACTCAACTTTAGAAAGCAAACTGATGTCACCAGAGAGGAGGGTTGGGGGGGTTTTGAAATAGGTGATGGGCATTAAGAGGAAACTTATCATAATAAAAAAAAAATGATTTGAAAAAATCGGTACATTTGACAAGTCAAAAAAATATGTTGCACTGGATTTCTCCTCCATCGGCAGTGTATGATATGAAGTGTTACCTCTCATTTGAGATCTTGGTTAAGTATTACCATTGAATAATAATAATAATAGTATTCTGGACAAAATATTGTTGCTTTAATTTTATTTCTTTGATTATTATTGAGGTTGAGCATTTAAATATGTGTTTTGACCTTTACGTTTCTGCTCTTATGAAATGTGTATTTATGGACTATTATCAATGTTCCTATCCACTTATAATAGCACTTTGTATATAATGAGTATGTTGTCATATTTGGTGAAACAGATGAGACTGGGTTGATTAATGTTTTATTTTATGGAGTCTTGGTTTATTTTTATTATTACAGGCTCTCTACCCCAGGATTAGATCCGTAATTACTTGTTTCTCTCATGGCTACTTTTTTATTGCAATTTGACCCTTTCAACCACCCAAATTTAGTTGTTACATATAATCTCAGGAAGAGATCTGTCCTTTTTACACTAAACTGAAATTACAGTTTAATAGATGTAGCCTTTTCTGGTATGGTTAATTTGGGTCCATTTTCTTCCAGTTATACTCCTCTGCTAATAAGTTTGTCTGCCTTCCTGGGGCCAATAGCTCACTGTTATTATTGTAATGTTTAATAATATGCTCTAATACCCAGAAATGGAAATTCTCCTTCATGGCTATTAATTTTTAGTCATTTCTTGCCATTGCCAGTGGGACTCCTATTCCAAATGAATTTAATTTACTTATTATTATTTCCTTCTCCCCCACTGGGAAAGAAATGGGATTTTTAACAAAATCACATTAAATTTATATTAGTTTAATTGTTATAGTATGTTTCCCTCTCCTCACTGGAAAAAAAAAATACTTTGTTTAAAATCACATTAAATTTATAATTTGAGGAAATTTGAAGAAAACCAACACCTTTTAATTTTTAGTTTTCTTATCACAGAATGAATGTTTTTCTCTTCCCTCAAAAAGTTCTTACATTAGATCCTTCAGCAATATCACACGTCTTCATCTGAGGTGTACTTTCTTTAGATGAAAGCCTTTTTTCCTGAACATTATATTTTAACAAATTGTTTCTGGATATTGATATACGGATGTTTATTTTATGAATAAATATGTTTTATAATCATCCTCCCAAGCTCTCATAATAGCCCATTTTGCCAGTAGCTTCCATTGGGTTTTTCAGGTAGAAACACACTCACAACAGTTTAATCACCTCTATATGTTTTTTCCCTTCGTGGGGATTTGGACTGACTATTCTAGAATAGGATTAAATAATAGTATTAAAGGTGGGCAGTTTCTCTTCAACCTGACAGTAAGGGGAATTTCGCTGAGTAGATGTTGGCTATGACTGAGACAAATACTCATTCACACACTAAAGGAGTACAATAGTCCTTATTATTGTGGCTTCATTTTCCGTGGTTTCAGTTACCCACAGTCAACAGGGGTCTGGAAGCAGATGCTCTTCCTTCTGACTTACTGCCAAAAGGTCAAAAGTAGCTGAATGCTGTGTCAAAATGCCTACATCATTTACCTCACTTTGTCTCATCCTGTAGGCATTTTAACATCTCACATCCTCACAAAAAGAAGGATGAATGCAATAGAGTAAGAAAGATATCTTGAGAGACAGACCACATTCCTGTAACCTTTGTTACAGTATATTGTTATAATCATTCTATTTAGAAACATAGTATATGTAGCGTTAGGCACTATGTTTCAGACATCCACTGGGGGTCTTGGAACACATCTCCCATGGAGAAGTGGGAACTACTATATGTCCTGTCCTAACTAGGAATTTATGTTGACATTATTAAATGTAGATTTGACATCTGTTGGGATGACCATATTTTCATTTCTTCTTTTGTGAGTAAATAGATCCCCTAATATGTAATTGTCTTCTATTTCTGGGATTAATGCTACTTCCTAGTTGTGTGTTATTTTTCAGAACATACAACTTGCTATTGTAATTTTTTAGGCTTTTGGTGTTCATTTTTTCAAGTACGATAAGTCGGTCATTTTCTTATTTTAGTACCATGTCCAATTGTGGTATCAGAGTTATCATAGGTTAATAAATTGACAGATATTACAGTTACCATTGGTTAATAAATTCACTTATTTTACCTGCTCCAAAAAGGATTGGTGACGTGGAACTTTGATAATAATTGAAATAATTCTACGATCACCCCTTTATTGTCCACCTAAGCAGAGTTGAGTCCTGACTCAGACAATCTAGAACAGCCTCCCAGATTCCCTATGACTTTAAAATGTTTTTTAAAATACCTTACCAATTGTAATTAGTGTGGACATTCGTTTCATGCGCTGACTGAGCCTTAGGAAAACTTTGGCAATAAGTTTTGTCCGTTAGAAAGAAGTCAGTGCGTAATTAGGTGTAGGTGGTAAGTAACAAAAGAAATGCAAATTTTAAAAAGGAAATCCCTTCCTCGTATAAATTTTAAAAAAAGAATTCTAGTGTTCATGGTTGGTGAGGTGTGGGGAAGGCTCAGAAGCATGGATTAGAGGTTTAAAGTGGCATGAGCTTTCTGAAGGGCATTTTGGCAAGACTTACCAAAATGTATACATCTTCTTCCTGGAACACATCTTTTGACCTAGAAATGTCACTCCTAAGAATGCCATTAATGATGGCTTCAAAGATTTCACAACAGCGATATTCATCCAACCATTATATGTAATGAAGAATTTGTACAGCTGTTAGAATTAAAACAGACAAATATTTTGTGAAATAGACATCCTACATGTTCAAAACATATTTGAAGAAGAGAAATAAAATAAGATATACACCAACGAGTTGGCAGTGGCTTGTCTCTAGATTTGGAGATGACAGCTTGACTTTTTTTTTTTTCCTTATCTGTGTTTCCTACTTTTCTACAGTGAATAAATAGTTCTTTTTAAAAAGGGGAGTAAAAATGGACTGTAGTACAATCTTACTTTCTTGCTCTAAACACAACTATTGTCACAATAAGGGTTGTGTTTTTGATATTCAGACCTCGCTATGCAAATAAATATGGGGATGTACGAATACAATGGGAAAAGTGGCTACAGATTAAAACCAGAGTTCATGAGGAGACCTGACAAGCATTTTGATCCATTCACCGAAGGCATCGTGGATGGGATAGTGGCCAACACTTTATCTGTTAAGGTATGTACTTCTCTGTTATAAAACTGTCCCCAACAAAAGTCTCAAACACTAGCTATTTTGCGTAAAGAAGTAGTTTAATCATTAAAAATTTAGAGCTAGCAATATCTCCACCTCCTGTATGCATTTTTCCTTTAAGGACTAAATCTGAATGAAAATTTTGGAAGCCACATGCATGAAATGAAGGGGCTAAGCCCTATGCTTTAATAGGATAAAAATTAAACCCTGAATCAATAAACCAAGTTGGTGAGAGTCACCATGGTTGGTCCTTTCTTTTGGTACAAATATCAGCGACCCATGTTGGAAAAATCTTCTGGTCTTGTTTTTCTCCATTAGTTCTAGCAAAATAGCCACCGTGAGCAAAACTGGAGAAAAAAAGGTATTCTCTCAGTAAATTATTAAATATTGAATAAAAGCTCACAAGTTACCTCTTTAAAAATCTATCAGAGGATTCAGGGACTTAAAACACAGAGTAATGATACTAAGTAAAATAATTGCTTCATTAAACATACATCTGACTCTAAAATATTAATTCACAATTATTTCTGCAGTCTTTGAAATTAATGTTACCTCAGATAAAACTTTTTTTTAGCTGTAAGAAAATATTTTGTACTGTGCATGAAAAATCATTTTATAAGGAGATTTTTACATGAATTCTATAGCCTCTTGTTTGTTGTGGCCATTTCAGTTACAATGTCTTTAAAGTTGCCTTTACTGGATAACTGTGGAATTAAGAAACTTTATTTTTTATTGGATATAAACGCAATTTTCAGACTGACCTTAAGCGAAAGGCATATGAAAACCTATGTAAAAAAAAATAATAATAATAACAGTTCCGCTAATTTCTGTCTACCCTAAGCTGGTTGAATCCATTTTTTATTTAAAATTTATGTCCCTTGACACCAAAGGTTAAAAATTTCAGTGAAGTGTCTCAAAATTATACCCTTTGAAATTATTTCATGCCATGTATCTGAAGAGTGGAGTTGGCAGAATTAGAGCTTAGAGATTATGTTTATTTTAGGAAATTCTTTTCAACAAAGGATGTTTCATTCCTGCCGAGTTTGATTAAGATAAACCCTTAAGCATGATACACCAACAAAGTGCTATTTTTAGAACCCTTGTCAGTTGTTGTTACAGTTGGATCAAACTAATAATTTTGTTTTTGTCTGCCAGGTCATCTTGTTTTATGCACATTTGCTTGCTTATTGATTTATTTATTTTTTAAATCAGGGCTCCTGAGTGGCTCAGTCTTTTAAGTGTCCGACTCTAGGTTTGGGCTCAAGTCATGATCTCAGGGTCGTGAGATCGAGCCCCAAGTCGGGCTCCATGCTCATCGGGGAGTCTGCATGTCCCTTTCCCTCTGCTCCTCCTTGCACTCTCTCTCTCAAACAAATAAATAAATAACCTTTTAAAATATTATTTTAAAAATTCTACGATGGAGGTGTAAGTAGTTAGAAGACGATGACGTAGAAACAGGAAAGTGAGTTGAGGGGAAAGAGTTGAGACCCAAACAGATGGGAAGGGTTGCCTGAGTCCAGAATGCAGACACTGCCATAGAATCGTCACTGTCCTCAGAACAGACAGGCCAGGCCGCCATCCTGTCCTGCCTTTCACGTGACAGCCAGAGCCAAGGGGCAGCTCGTGTCCGTCCCCTCGTGCCTGTGTTTTGACCTTCCGACATAGACTTCCTAGTGTCAGAACGGACTCAGGACCTCAAAAGGTGTCCCACCATCCTATTGTACTGACGGGAACATTGAAGGTCAGTGTCATTAATTTAGTTAAGAACTTCTGCTTTAATCGAACACACCATAAGCACACAGAATCCTCGATGCACCTGATTTCCCAGTGTGACTCACATAAAATGTCTGCTAAGTTGTTCTCACTTAGAATCTCAAATTAAATAGAGATTGTTCCTGGAAGGTCCTAGCACTCAGGCTAAAGAGAACATTCAGGAGAAATGACCGATCCCCGGGGCAAAATGTCTTCCTCGTTTTTCTCTCTAACCAGTTTGGAATTTCTGACCACATCAGCATAGAGCTCACAGGCCTCCCTGAGCCTCTGGGGGCCATTCTCAGGCTGACATCCTGTCCCACTTCTGGCCCCGCCAAAGTCTTGGTAATTCTTTCCTCTTTCACGGACTTGAGCTCAGAAAGCTCCTGGCCACCAGAGTATGTGATATTAAGTTCTTTGAACTCTATAACATCCATAAATTTTATAGCTAAGCAAAGATACCCGTAATTGTGTGGATGGCTAACAGGTTGGTGTTAGCAGTAATGATAAACTGGGCTTGGTGGCTTAAAGTCAATATTTGGGTTTTATTTTTATTATCATTATGGCTTTTTATTTAAATATAACAACTCTGGCGGCACCTGGGTGGCTCAGTCAGTTAAGCGTCTGACTCTTGATCGCAGCTCAGGTCTTGATCTCAGGGTTGTGAGTTCAAGCCCCACCTTGGAGCCGACTTAAAAAAAAAAATTAAAAAATAAAAGTGTAATAACTCTGAGAATTGAATAGCATAGTGTTACAACCACTCCTTCAAGTTGAATTTTATGAACAACAACAAAAAAAGCTTTTTAAACACTAGAGTGTCTACTTTGTTATGTTTTAAATTTGTATTCTTAAATAACCCTTTAACGTCATTTACAATCATGCTAAAAATGAGAATTTTTTTTCTCTTGTAACATCTTTAAGTATTAGAAAAAACCTTTATATTCAGTAGGCTTGAAGATCAATCTTCAACATTTAACAGATGTATCTCAAGTACAAAAGGTATAATCTCATCAAACTTTTGGTATTTGTTCATTTATTTCCTCCTATACAATTTTGTCTTATTAACTGACTCCTTCTAACCTTAGCATTTTCAATGTGCGTCTACCAATTCCTTAATCAAAAGAGCAATTTTCTTTGTACTCTTGCCTCTATTCCTTTTTGGTTATGATCCCACCATCATTTGTACCTCCTAAAGTATTTTCTTATATCACTTAACTCATTTATCAAGAGCTCCTTTTTTATTATTTTCTAGATTATTTCAGGTCAGTTTCTTTCCGATAAGAAAGTCGGGACTTACGTAGAAGTGGATATGTTTGGTTTGCCTGTGGACACAAGGAGGAAGGCATTTAAGACCAAAACATCACAAGGAAATGCTGTAAATCCTGTCTGGGAAGAAGAGCCCATTGTGTTCAAAAAGGTTGGTCTCATATCCTTGATATGAGATGTAACTGCATATTCTAGGTGTTTCACTCTGAGGAAAAAAAATTAAGTGAAGAATTATTTGTTGCTTAATTTGGGAATTTACATATTTATAAAGCAATATCATTTTGGGGGCTATTTTAACTGTTCAGGATCTCTGTGAATCACTTCTTTAGATTTTCAGAATTGTGTTGTGAATCACTTAATTCTAAAATATGTCATTTGGAAGACCAGACAAACATATAAATTAACTCGTATTCTCTCATAATACAAGTGGTAAATGATATATTTTCACTGTAATTGAAAAAAAGTAAAGTGGGAAGTGGGGAATAATAGGGTAGCACAGAGAAGGAAGTCCGTACTTCCTAAAAAAAATATTAATTACATTTCCTATTCCTATAACCTCTAGCCTCTGGCAGCTGGTCATTCTCTCTTATCCGGTTTCTGTCTGATAGTTAAAGTTTTTCCATTCGATGGGACTTTCTGTCTGCCTTCACCAAATCTTCTTCACACATGGTTGTCACACAAAGGAAGACATTAGTCTCGTAGAAAGTGGAATGGACTGTCTTACCATACCCTTTGCTTTTATCTGGCCAGAAGATCTAGAAAGGCCGTCTTCTGCAGAGAGAATATCCATGTTAAAGGTCTCTGTGTTCCCACTATTTTTAATATGTTAATCAGATTTAATAGTACTGTCTACTTCAAAAGTTATTAATAAGTATTCCATAATACACTGAAAACATTTATAAGACGTCCAACACTTTGAAAATAGCCAACAAATGCAAATGTTGACTATTTTCTTGCGCTTGTTACCAAAATTAAGTTTTTTAAGGATACAGTTAGTCTCATGTTCTCCACACATGTTTTATATGGGGGGGTGGTGAGCAATTACTTGTTGCTAATTTGGGAATTATTTATAAAGCAATCTCATTTTGAAAGCTGTTCAGCAAGCTCTATTTTTGCGTGTTTGCTTTTGCTTGGAAAGTATAAAAGCAATTTGCTTTGAAACTGTAAGAGTAGGGGCACCAGGCTGGCTTGGTCGTCTAAGCATCCAACTTTTGATTTCAGCTCTGGTCCTGATGTTGGAGTCATGGGAATGAGCCCCACATGGAGCTCCACGCTGGTGTGGAGGCTTCTCCCTCTCTCCCTCTGCCTCTGCCCCTTGTCCCTCTCTCCTCCCTACTCACACATGCGTGCTCTCTCTCAAAGAAAAAGAAAAAAGAAAATGTAAGAGTAGACACTCCAATAGTGAGAAGACTACTAACTTTATATTTGAATGAATATTGAAACTTTTGTCATTTCCACATTGAGAATGTTCATGTCAAAAGTAAATGATCTACATGTGGAACAAACCCTCTCTTGGGACGAGGTGATAGGACATAGACAAAGCCATATCTCTGGGATTCCTTTTGAAAAATCCAAGTTCTAGGGCAACAACTTCACTTTTAATCAGTTCGCTAACTAGAAACTTCTACTGGAGTTTGGAAACACAGGCCGTATTTGAATATTACCTTTCTAATTCTTTCTTGGAGTCGCTCCTTCTTGTAACCACTTGGATCCTGCATTTCCCTCTAGGTGGTCCTTCCTTCTCTGGCCTGTTTGAGGATAGCAGTTTATGAAGAAGGAGGTAAATTCATTGGTCACCGGATCTTGCCCGTACAAGCAATTCGGCCAGGTATGGATAGTGTGGTGAGAAACTATCAAAGCTGTCAAGAAAACCATCACCGCCTTATGTGATTGTTCAAGGGTGATTGAGGAAGCTATCTGAAAGCTCAGTGGGTTATAACAAGTGCTTTATCTTCATGCTCACGAGTCTGTGGGTTGGCAGGGTTTGGCTGGGCATAGCCGTGAGGCTGTGCTTTAGGGTGAGGGCTGGAGTTAGGTCTGTTCCACGTGCACTCATTCAGGCTTCTAGAAGGAAGGAGCAGGGGTATCCACAGTACGGACATTTCTGGCTGCCCCCTGGAATGCATATCAGGGCAAGCCTGACTGCAAATGCATTTTAAGTCTCTGTTTGCACCACATCACTGACATCCTGTTGTCTAAAGTCAAGCATATGGCTAGGCCCCAAGTCAAGAAATCACGTACAGGGGAAGAATTGGGACCAATAATTCAGTCCATGACATAGAGTTTTAAATTCTCTTCTGTGGGAAAAAATATGATTGGAAAGGAGAATAATCAGAATCAACATTGTTTTCCTGTCTGCTGAGAAAAATAATGTCATGTAAAACCACGTGATGAAAATGAGAAAGAAGTGACCTGTTTGTCATCCATAGTCTCCTAAAATAAACACTTATATCACATAGATGTTCCTCTGTTGTAACTAACACTGTGAAGAAAATATGTGATACACGGTATTAATGTCCTCCTCTAGGCTATCACTACATCTGCCTGAGGAATGAAAGGAACCAGCCTCTGATGCTCCCAGCTGTCTTTGTCTACATAGAGGTGAAAGACTATGTCCCAGATACATATGCAGGTAAGAAGCCTAACTCAAGGGAATGTTTCCACCTGGGGCCATCCTTATTTCTATGGTTTAGTGGAAGGAAAACAAGACCAAAAATAGGCAGGAAATTTTGGCCTCAGAATCACTTCTATTTAAATATGTATGTTGATTAAATTGCTCAAGTCTTTGTCAATAAATTTTAATTTCATTTCAATTAATTCCCAATAAAATATTGAGCATGTTTATCTACTCATGATATTATTTTTATGGATCCAGCAATTTTTAACCTATGCTTCTTGGTGCTACAACAGTGTATCTAGGTGTGTACAATGAATTTGTCTTTGGCCAATTTTAGAAGCCAGGTCCTTTTCATGGGTGAAATCCTAAGGTTAGAGGAATTAACCAATGACAATGTCAACGAAAAATCATCAATTTAAATAGTCACAGTGTTGAGCGGCCTGGTTGTAAGGTATTGGAGAGTGGTGGCGACTATGGCAAACTTGGAGCACATGTCCATCCAGTGATGGCAGCCATAACTCACTCCAGCTAGTACGTAAAAGTGTGAATAGTACTCATATTGCCAAGTCTTTAGGTTGTTTGAATAGTCTGGAAAGCAGATTTTTTTATGTGAAACACCTTCCTTCATTTATGAAACACCACTTTGGCCAAATAGGACAAGTGTGTGGGCCATTGTTGGAATGGATGGACCGCTCAAGAAGAAACTAAAAACTATGGAATATTGAGGTATCTGGGTTGAAGCCTATCCAGTTTGGCTGTCAGAGCTGAACTCCTTTGAGTTCTGTCTTCTTGAGATTGCAGCAAAGGGTCCTGAGTCTTGTCCATTTCCAAAATGCTGGATGGATGAGTGTATAGACACATGGTAGATGGAAGAGTAGAAGATGGATGATGAATCAGTGGGTGGGAGGGTGAATAGACAGATGATGAGTGAATGCATGGATGGAAGAGTGGATGGATGGATGGATGAGTGGATGGTGGATTATCAATATATCCAGGACCTTTGATCTGAAAATGTCTCTTCTTCATTTAGATGTGATTGAAGCTTTGTCAAATCCAATACGATATGTGAATCTCATGGAGCAAAGAGCTAAACAGTTAGCTGCTTTGACACTGGAAGATGAAGAAGAAGTAAAGAAAGAGGTGAGCAAGTGTTCTAATCTTATGTGGGATTAAGCATGATTTCCACACCCAGTGGCTGACTTTGCCTATATAACATCACGCCTCGGGAGAAGAAAATAGCACATTGGAAAAGTTCTTTGATGTAGCTCAGCATCTTCTCATAAGACGTCTATATGATTGGCAGAATTTTTCATATTTCATCCTCTTTTGATAGTCTGTGCCCATCCCAGCATCGAACAGTCCACATCTGGACATTTCAGGTGAAAGTTTCTAACTGATTTCATATTGCTTAAAGGTGACTAAAGCATTTAGAAAAGAAGATGATCATCATGTTATTTAGTATATTTTTTTCACTTCATAGCACTCACCATAGCACATACCCTCCCCAATGTCCATAACCCCA